CCCCAAAACCCCAAAACCCCAAAACCCCAAAACCCCTTATTAAGATTTTATTAATGAAATCAAATAATGATTAATAATAGCGATAAAAATTTAATTCCTATCGTTTCTGATCCTACCTCCCAAATTTATAAGCATTCTTTTTCATTCAAAGTTTCATGGTACAGTCCAGCTTATTCCCAAATATTACAAAACCCCTTCAGCACAATACATTCTTATTGGATCAATAAGGGAAGATCACTTAGTGTGAATAGGGCATTAGATTATTGATGCCATTTATAACCAGATTTAGTGCGTCCCTAAGAGATTTTGAAGTTTGTCTCCTTTTAGCGACAAGGAATAAAATTGTTTCGGTATTTTATAGTGCAATTTTACATGAAATTAATTATCTTTATCCTCAACTTCTTGTTTAATCTCACCAAGGATTATCTTTCTGCATCAGAAAAGATTCTTGAGCTGTGACTGAGCCAATTTCTCACTCAGAGGAACAGGATCTATTAAGTGATATTTAGCATCTGTTTTGTAGATGGATTTATCGAAATCTATTGGGAAAAGAACGATAATTTTCGTCCCTTTGAGCTTCTCACCGAAGGTACCTAATCCACCTAGAATTTCACATTGCATTACGTGAGATTTTACTATTCTGCTAGAGAAGAGAGCTCTCACCTTCAAGGTTTCGGTATTAATATCTTTCTTGGAGGAGTCATCTTGAGAATCATCAACTTTGATTGCAGTTTTGGTTTCATCTTGATCAACCTCCATATCATTATCAGATTCTTGTTTCTCTGGCTTGTAAAATTCTTCCAGGGCATAGAGAAGACCAGTTCTATATTTTGTAGACTCTTTGGCACTGAATTCAGATTTGCTACTCTTAATGGAGTTCTGAAGGTTCTTGATAACTTTGTTACATAGATAATACTCATCTTCTTTGTTGGAATCAAGTTTTTTAGATCTTTCACCCATGAAATCATCCTCTGTGTTCTTACTTTTCTTTGGGCGTTCCTCGTCTACATCTGAATTGTTCTGAAGGTTTGAAGGATCATATGAGAAGAAATCATCTGTATTGTTAACAAAAGTGTTCAGCATTTTCATGTCGAGGACATCTTCTTCTGTAAGTCCCTTCTTTCTTGCTCCTTTCCCTCCAAATTTGCTTGTATTAAGGGTCTTCTTGGAAAGATGGCCTCTCTTTCTGACAGTGTTACTTTTCTGTTGGCTTCTCATTAAAATCTTTCAATTTTTGGTTAATTTATGGGGTTTTGGGGTTTTGGGGTTTTGGGG